GACTCCGAAGTGGAAGCCTTTGAAGCCTTCAAGGCACTTCGGCGAGCAAGAAAAATGGAAAGGGAACAACAGCTCAAGAAGAAGTACGAGCAGCACCAAGTTCGCATGAAGTTTGAGGTAGTACCACCAACTGCCCTCACTGAGGTGTACCATCACATTGATGACTGTCTGCCCGCGACCAACAGCCTTGCCCCAAGGCGTGCACGATCGTCTCGTGGTGTAGCATTCGGCACCGACACACACAACCCGCACTGCCGTAGATGTTCAAAGCAGTTTCCGTGCACACTAGTCCAGCTTTGCGACAACCTCATCACGCAGACGGAATGCGCCCCAGGACGATGCAGCGCTAATGAGCTTTGCCGAAATCAAGCCATTTCCAAGAAACTCTTCCCCCCCACAACAATTGTTGATGATTCAAAGTTGACCCATGCATTGCGTGTCGATGAAAGTGTCCCTGCAGGAACAAAAATCATCGAGTACGTGGGTGAACACATCGGCAAAGAAGAGGTTGCAGCACGGAAGGAAAAGCGTCATGGCGCGAAGGATTGGTACATCGTGCGCGTGGGCACCAACGGAGACTTGTACGTTGACGCCTCGAAGTTCGGTAACAACTCGCGGTTTATCAATCATGCCTACGTTCCGAATTGCCGCTTCGAGGTATGGTATGTAGACACTAAACCAAGACTCATGGTGGTCGCGAACACTGCTCTCGAGCAAGGCACTATATTGACGCTCTCTTACATGAACGCGGCGTGGAACATCACTTGCGTATGTGGGGCATGCGACGGTGGCTACAATCTTACTGATATTGTTTAATTAACAGTAAATGAATTTTTCTACAATCTCAGTTGTCGCATCAATTCAGGACATGCCGCGACGTTTCGCAATGCTGCTGGAGCTAGATTTCATCCAAGCTTCATTTTGCAAAACCAGATGATCTGCCAGAATGCTGTAATGTTAGTACTACATAGTAGTACGTATTTCGCTGTGGTGGCAATCATCCCACCTAATTCTTGACATTATCGGTGATCGTACGCACATCCTTGAACTTCAAGGGCTGTTTTTGGCCCATCTGGTGAATTTGGTGGCCCATCACACCGGTCAGTGTGATAAAAACGCCATTATATCAGAATTTTGGTGGGTCTTAACGTTTTTCATACCCGGCTTAACGATTTTGAGCATTCCTTAACGTTTTCATCACGTTACCATTTACTGCATCCACAACTGTCTCAGCGGATCTCGTGTGCTTTTCTCGAGGAAGAATGCATACCGAGAACTGCGTTGGGACTGGCGCACAGTAGTACTCGAAATAATTAAATAAATTTGTAAGAGCAGAAATCCAACGAAAACGAAACTATATTGGCCAATCGCAGCGTCCCCCCAACATAAGCCGTGATTGGTCAGTTCAAATGGGAGATTTAAATTTAATTGGCTGACTTTGGATGACATTTGACTTGCAAGCCTCGCCGCGTTGGAGCTCGTCGACTTCATGGCATCTGTGCACCATGGCGAGCACATCCTTACCACGGCGCATCTGGTCACGTGGCTCAAGACGTACCAGCTTGAATGGTTGGCTGAGTACATGAGCTCCAAGCCGACCGACGAGCGCACGTACAAGTCACTGGTGCAATGGTGCCTTCGTTTCGGCAACCCACATGGCTACCACCATCGTGTTCCTTACCTTGTGAAGTCCACCCAAGAGGAGCTTGCTGTAACCCAAGAGACGTTTGCTGCTGATTTCGGCTCGACGTTTGGCCATCTTCCCAAACACGCATGAATCAACGTGGACGAAACACCTGTGTACTACGATATGCCGCCTGGTCGTACTCTTGCTCGAGTTGGACAGTCCTCACGCGTGGAAGAGTCCCAAAAACACTCCGATCGTATCACGGCTGTGCTCTCAATTCGTGCGGATGGTATGTCACTACTCATTGCGTCGACTCATTGCAAGATATGTAGGTACAAAAATGCCGCTGCTACTGATTGTGAAGGGCCGCCCCGGCGGTGACATCGCGACCAAAGAAGTTCCGACGTATCCCGCTGGACCGGTCTACGCTGTACAGAAGACTGCGTACATGAACCAGCGTGTCTGGAACATGTACCTCCGCGAGGTTTTGAAGCCCGAGTTGGATTGTCCGTCGGTCCTCCTTACCGATAACCTGAAATATCACTTGTCGAAGAAGAGCTACAAGATCATGCAGGATGAGCTTTACTCCGGTGCGTTTCTCCAGCCATTGTCGGCCAACACGACGAGTGTCCAGCAACCTCTGGATGTCGGCGTCATGGGACCTTTCAAGCAGATGTGCCATACGGAGTGGATCAAGGAAGGAAAAGTCGTCACTGCTACAGCGAAGCGTCTTGTTATGATCAAGAGGGCGATTAAGGTGTGGGATGGCATGAAGGAAGACACAGTTCGCAAGTCCTTCGAACAAGCACTTCACACTTACGAGATTTAGTGTAAATTTTCTTCATTTGTTCAGGTTTTGGTGAAAAATGTAATTAACTTCAAAATCATAAAGAAGTTCGCACTGCACTTTGGCCCCATGCTAACTTTCACCCCTCACACTACTTGTGCTACAATTGCATAGTCATCCAGCATTTCGCCGTCTTACCCACTGCACTATTCCGAAGAACGGAGGTATCCTCAGTCTGAAATAGTTTGCAAAACTGAGGTACCAGTCATGTGTTCAATCCCAACCCGAGGCTCAATTTTTATTGGCAAAAATTAAACGAATCCGAGTGGTGTTGTTGATTGTGATGCGGAGAGTTTTATTATATTTTGGTACCACACATCCCGCCACCCTATACAAACGTCCATACAACAAGTTATACCACTGTGCGCCAGTCCCAACGCTGTACTTAAGCGAGAAAATGGGCTCCTTGTAAGTACAAGCATTCCATAAAGCATACCCATGGTTGTAGCATGTTTGCTTCATCTTCAGGCCATTACCTTCCCATTTACGAGCTGTGACAATGGACATTCCACCACAACAAATCCAAGATAAAAACGTATTTTCAAAAACCGAATAATTGCCACATGTGAGTACAGTTTAAGTAGAGGCGTTGAGAATATAAGCAAATTGTACTATAAAAGGAGATTTAAATGAGTTACTACGTAGTATATGTTAAAACCAAATTACGCTATATTTTGAGTTCAACAAGTAATTGCCGCCAAACCTTGGCGCCGAAAAGCGTGAGCACTGCGGCTAGAGCACTGCCAGCTACTCACTTTCCAATTTCAATGTCACGTGCCACCCCCGCTATCAACGCTACTCATGTTCTCGCCCGTCTTTGCGACTAGGCCGCCTCCGATCTCACGTTGCTCGAGACGAGTCTCGAAGACTTCGGAGAGGCGGCCCGTCAAGGCATGGACATGGATGAAGCCCCAGTAAACCCGATCATGGACAAGTTCGTCAACGTTCTTGGACCGGAGGGAATCCGTTCTCTGACCAACTTCACTGTGTCGGAGATCGAGTCCCTCTGGTCCATCGTCGATGATGCATTGAACGCCGCTTGGCTGGAAGGACGTGGCCGGAAGTCGACCACAAGCCCTAAGAACAGACTGTTCATGACTCTCACGGTCATGAAGCAATTTTGTTCATGGGACAAGCACGCCGCTGACTTTAGTTTCAAGGCACCAACCTTTGAGAAGATGATCATGCGTACTGTGTCGGTATTTTGGCGTGAGCATTGTCGAACTGATGTGCATATGCTAGAAGATTGAGCCTGTTCTGTCCAACAAGTTCATCGTGTGCCCATCCATGGCGACCTTGACTGAGACCGGCTGTCGTTTCACTAACTACCCGTACGCCCTCTATGCAGTGGACGTGAAGTTCCAGCCATCGCTTCGTCCAACGGGCCGTTTTTCTGAGCAGAAACACTACTTCAGTGGCAAGCATCACCTATATGGCTACAAGATTGAAACCGCCGTCTCTCCCGATGGCCGCTGTGTGGCCATGTCCGACGCGCATCCTGGTTCGGTCCACGATCTGACCATCATGCGTACTCGACGTGATGTGCACAAGGCCAACTTGACGAAGACACCCCGTGAAGCTGCCTTGTCGGACCATGGGGAGTTGTCGACCGCCTTCCCGACATATTGGCCATGCCTTGTGGACATGGACTACATCAGAATTGCCCATGAAGTCCGTGGGATTCATCCGAAGCGTCGCCCAGCAAACGGCGCTCTCGATGCCAACGACCATGAGTGCAATCGACGCGTTTCGTCCGATCGTGTTGTCGTGGAAAACTTCTTCGGGCGTGTTTGCTCCCTGTGGAGAATTTCAAGCACGACGTTTACTTGGGGCGAGAAGATCTACCTTTCGCTTCAGAAGACTACGTTTGCCTTGACCAACTTCCATCTGTTATTGCTGCCCATGCTCGCAGAGGACGAAAACTACTATGCCATGGTTCTGGCCCGCTACCAGCGCATGGCGAGCGAGAAGAAGCGAAAGCGTGCTGAGACTCAGCACCGTTATCGATTGAGGAAAAGGTCGTATCGCCATGGATACCAATCGCGCTCGTTTCTCGCCATACAGTGGCTGAAGTATTTTCAGTGTTCATGTATCCTCGTAAAGACCAACTAATTAATTAGTACCATGTTCATTTCCGAATACTTTACTCCTGTTGGTAGCAATTGTGTATTTTGCAAATAAGTAAACACCTTCGCAAGGTTACAGCAAATTCTAAATTCAAGTGATACTGTGGAAGGGACTCAAATTAATATCAAGAGCAATGTGTTTGTGTCAAAAATCGTTAGTTTCCGAAATATCCAAGTTATTGATTATTTACTGGACCACTGATCAATAACATACTTGGTGAAAAAATCAAAGAATTTAGAGGCCAAACTTCTAGAAGCGCATGGCACGAACAGCATCCATAGCTGCACGCTCTTGACGGTTCAACCGATATCGGCGTTGGGTTTCTTGACGCTTGCGCTTCTTTTGATTCACCATACGTTGGTAGCGAGCGAGTACTCCACCATAATAGTCCTCGTCATCATTGCGCAAGGGCAGCAAGGACAAGTGAAAGTTTGTTAACGCAAACGTAACGCGCTGGATCGCAGAGTAGTTTCGCTCGGACCACATGTGCGTGGCGCAATTGCAACTATTCGTCCAGCCTCTACAACTCTACATAAAAACAACTCATTTTAGATATTTCTTGTTGGTCACATTTTTATACACGTTAAATTGACATAGCATGTCATAATAGTGGTAATGATGCGGCGTTGTTCTTGTCAAGTGGTGCTTTTCTCTCGCCTGTGTTCACGCCTTTTGTCCTCGCCTATTTCTCCCAAACTCTATCGCCTAGTCTATCAACTCTGACAGGCCGAGACAGTGGCCGCTTTATACCTGCATGTTCTGCATATTCTTCATGTCGCAACCCTACCCTAGTGATTGCTCACCCAATCACGGCTCTAGCACTAGGAAAAGAGCGCTGATTCTCACAAGTCAGTGTTTCTCTTTGGCTGAGTTCTAGCCAATAGGAACGAAGCTAGATAGTTTGTAAACGACTGAATGTCACTTTTGGTTTTCCCCTGTCCCGCACACTTGGTTTGTCTTGGACACTCTGCGCAAAGTTGCTACACGCCTATCACCCTCGCCTACCTCCTGTTTCTTGCTTCGTGACAGGTTATGAGCCCTCCTGTTTCGACCATTATCGCCTACTCCGGTATTCTCCTCGACGACGCCTACAAATTCTATGCTGCGTGGCGCACCACGTTTGAAGAAGCGGCCGTGACCGCAGACTTCTTCTCCCTTTGCACCAACGAGACCTATTGCCCTACGCCCATCGAAACCGACGCCTACACTATCAGCCAGGCCAAGTTTCAGGTGGACAAGATCCGCAACGATGCGAAGTATTCCATCGACGGTTATGCTGGTGACGCCTTGGAACAGCGCCTTGCAGCGGTGAAACGCCTTGAACAAGACTTCACGCGCAAGTTTCTGGATGAGTACATCGCGGAGTCCCTCGCTGCCCTACGCGTCCAGGCTAAGGCATTTCTTTCATCTTCCTCTACGCCTAAAGCCCACACTCGGGCTACCTCCACAGCACTCATCGTTCAGCCACAGTTTCCACCTCAACAAAACTACATACCACTTCCTCCCGCCTCTTCCACAGTGGATGACCCTCTGCTGCCCCCACTCCCCGCCTATCGTATTCATCCTCCGCGTACGCCTCCCAACTCTAACAAACTCACTACACGACCTCCCACGCCTCCGATTACGTTGACCCGCCTGCACGACAGTTACCCGTACGCCTCAACCGTCGTGGTGGCGCCTACAGTGCACCTCCGCCTCCTCGTGCTGCGCGCCCTTATTACTCCTCCGATGAAGAAGACCGCTGGGGTCCAATTCGTAACGTCGCCTACGGTCAAATGGCTAACATTACTGCCGACGCCTTTCACCAACTGTCCTATGACAAGTGTGTCGCCTATCATCTTTTCAAGCACCAAGCCGGTCTCCATCCCAAAGCGCGACCACCGCCTATCCCACTCATCAAAGACAACCTCCAACTCAAAGACTACCAAGCCAACCCTACGCCTCCCACAATGACCACCCACTTTCCCTTCTACGTTGGAATCTCTTGGGACACGGTCTGCCTGAAGGTGAATTTCCCCAACCACACCTATCCATTCCCCCTCGAACCTTCACTCTATCCCCAGCTCTCCAACGAATGGATCATTGGCTCTGGTGCCACCGCCTCCTGCACGCCTCACCGTCGCTACTTTATTGACTCCGCCTTTGTCGACAAATCATTTACACTTGCTGTGGGCGATGGTGGCAAATTTCCTGTTCTCGGCCACGGGCCTATCGATCTCGGTGTTACCACCCACTCTGGCGAAACCTTCGGCCAATCTCGCCGCTCATCATGAGCCTCTCTCTCTACCCTTTGCCCTACATTGCCCTGCCTTACAATTCAACCTTCTCTCCGTCCGTCACTGTGTTCAAGCTGGCTGCCACTTCGACTTCTCGCATCCATCGCACTGCCTCATGGACATCGGTCGTGGCCTTTATTTGCGTGCTCAAGTTAACGCCTTGGGACTCTACTCCTTTCCGGCACAGCCCTACACACGCCTAGCCAGCAACCCTCCGCCTTACCCTCCTGCTGCCGTTGCAGCTGCCATCATGGAATTTCAGGCTAACCTAGCAGCTCATCCTTCCCTTAGTGATGCAGATCCATTCCACATCAACTTCGCCACGCCTACTCCGTGCTCCATTTCTACGCTTGAGTCTACCGTACAAGCCGCGGCGCGCTCCGAAGTAATCGATCAATTGCACATCTATATTATTTACGTTGGACGTTCGCCTAAACCCACTATTTTCAAGTCTCCATCAAGCAAGGCTGTACATTTCTCATTACCGCCTACCACCACACTCTCTCCCCCAACCCCAACGCCTCGTCCCTTATTTCCTGTTTATCCGGCACTTCCAAATTTCCTTCCGTACACGCCTTGTCCCTCGCTTCCAACGTTGTCACCCCAAACCAGTTCACTCCCATCTCTCCATCTACCAACAAACCTCTTCTATCTCTGCCTCCCCCTTCAACTTCAACAACTACGACGCCTTCTCTCGCACTAGCTACTGCAACCACCTCAAACACACGCCTATCTAACGAAGCCCTCTTCCGTCTTTGGCACAACCGCCTCGGACACCCAAGCTCCACCGTTCTCCAAAACCTCGTCAAGACCCACCCCGACTTCTCTACCGATCGCCCACGCATTTTCAAATCCTTCACCTGCGATACTTGTGAATTCGCCAAGTCCCGTCGACAACAGTTTTCCTCCGCAGCCGTTTTCCACGCCTAATTCTTCCTCCTTCTCGTCCACACCGACATTTGGGGCCCGTGCCCAGTGCCATCGATTGGTGGCAGCTTTTACTTCGTCGTGTTTATCGACGACTACTCCCGGTTTACCTGGGTCTACCCTCTCGCCTTCCTCGAGGATCTCTACGACGCCTACGAACTCTTTCGCCTCCAAGCCATCACTACCTTCAAGTCTGACATCAACACTCTTCAGTACCTACCGCCTACTGACATCGGCAATCTACAAGCCGACAATGTCAAGGAATTCGAGAAACTTGGTCGTATCATCGGACCGAAGTACTCCACCAAGACCACATTTTCAAACGCCTACTCGCCTGCTCAAAACGCCGTAGCCGAATGCCGCATTGGCTTACTCGTCATGAAGATGCGAGCGCTCCTACTGCCCGGTAATCTCCCCAAGTTCCTGTGGGCCGAAGCCGTTATCTACTCCGCCTGGCTCTATAACATCTCGCCTTCCACCCGAATGACGGTCAGTCGCCTTACCATCGCGTTTTCTCCCGGCACCCACCCCTCGCCTACATCCGCACCTTCGGCTGCACCGCCTTCGTTCATATACAAAAGGCTAACCAAACGAACAAACTCGACGCACGTGCCATCAAGTGCATGTTTGTGGGCCTACCAGATGATCGCAAGGGCTACACTCAACGCCTAATCCCACCAACTACTTTACTCCCGTGATGTTGTTTTCCACGAAGGTGAATTCCCACCCATCAACACCATCCAAGCTGCAGCAGCATTTCGCCTTCGTGCCCGTGATGCATCCGACATTCCATCGATTACACCTCATGAACCTCTACCGCCCCTCTCTACTCGCCTCGATCCAACCATTTTTCCTCCACTTCCTTCAACATCTCCACCCCTACCACCGATCAATTGTCTCCACCCTACGTTTACTCTTTGTCTGCCGCCTTCGACGAACTCCAACTTGCTCTACCATATCGCAGTCCTCTTTCCATCCGCCTACCACTCTACTTGCCCAACATCACAGCCGCACCACTCCAACGCCTACATTATCAGGCACTCCGTTCTGTCTCTCCACCTCACATTTACCATTCGTTGTCATCTCCATCGACGATCTCGCTGTCCTTCCACCACCGCCTTACCCTTACCCTTTTCTGCCTCTCTCGGCGCCTACACAACCCCTCGATCCACCCCTTTATCCGCCATGGCACCTCTACGCCCTACTCAGCGCCCGCCTACCTCCGATTCCTCTGATCCTAAAAACTGGCAGGAAGCCATGCGCAGTTCCGATCGTCACAAATGGCGAACCTCCGCCCAAGACGAATTCCAGTCCCTTCAAGATAACAAGACCTACGATCTTGTTCCACGCCTAAAAACCACGACAGTCCTGCCCTGCCGATGGTTTTTCCGCATCAAGCCTAACGGCACGTACAAAGCACGCCTAGTTATCAACGGTTTTCTGCAACGCGAAGGCGTTGACTACGATGACCACATTTGCGCCTGTCCGTCGTCTTCATGGAACAGCCGCCTGGCGACCTCGTGACCGACGTCTCCCGCCGCAAACTCGTCTGGCGCCTAAACCGCAGCCTCTACGGCCTCAAACAAGCGCCTAACCTATGGTACTGGACCTTCGTCGACTACTTGGCATCCCAAAAGTACTCCCGCCTACACAAAGACCGCTGCGTCTTCATCAAGTCTGACGCCTCCGGTTTCACCATTGTTAGCCTCTACGTGGACGATCTCCTTATTCTTGCGCCTACTCTATCTCTCGTCCTCGCCTTGAAGGCTTCCCTCTCTCAACGGTTTGCCATGAAAGACCTTGGCGAAGTCTCCGACATTTTGGGATGACAAGTCCAACGCAACCGAGCAGGCAAGACCATCTTCCTTCATCAATCTCGCTACGCCGAGGCTATCCTGGACCGTTTTGACATGGTGAACTGCAACCGAGTTTCTACGCCTTTCAACCCCAGCCTCACCCTATCCACCTCCCATTGTGGGACCACGCCTCACGACTTCGTCTTTATGATCGGCAAGAACTATCGCTCTGTCGTTGGCAGTTTCATGTACTTAGCTACGGGCACACGTCCCGATATCGCCTACAGACTCCAACAACTTAGTCAGTTTCTCCACAACCCTGGCCCTACTCATTGGTCAGCCGTCCAACATGCCCTTCGTTATCTCAAAGGCACCCGCACCTATGGGATCCGCCTTGGTGGCATCGCCTCTATTGACGACTTTCCTTTTTTATCCGCCTACGTCGATGCGAACTGTGCTATGTGTGTTGACACTCGACGTTGCATCAGTGGATTTTTTACCCTTTTTTTCGGCTCACCCGTGTCGTGGCTTGCCAAGAAGCAACCTCGTCACCCTGTCCACCACGGAAGCTGAGTTCGTTGCCCTCGCCTTATGCATTCAAGAACTTCTCTATTTACGTCAACTCGCATCTGGACTCCAACAATCGTCCGACCAACCCGTCCTAGTCCATGAAGACAATCAGTCCACCATCAAGATCGCTACCAACGCCGAAGTTCACGGCCGTTCAAAGCACATCAACGTCCGCTACATGTTTGTGCGTGACCTCGTGGACTCCGGCGAATTCCAGCTCAAGTGGTGCAGCCCTGACAACCAACTTGCAGATTTTTTCACCAAACCTCTTCCGGCACCCGCCTTTGCCAATCTACGATCACGCCTCTCCATCATTCCCCTCTCAGCCTTCACTATGTGATCTCAAACGCCTATCAATACATTTTTTTTTAGATTCACAACTCTACTCTACGCCTTCCCGCCTATCAGATCTCACTTTATTTTCTTCTCTTCGTCAGCGCCTATCGTCGCCTACACTCCCAAATATTTTTTTGTTCTACTTTTTTCTTCTCTTCGTCAGCGCCTATCATCGCCTACACCCCCAATATTCTTTTTATCTCTTCTTCTACGCCTACCATCTATTTTTTTTCTTTTTCTCTCCTCTTCGCCTACCTTACTCCTTCCATTTCTTTTACTACGACTTATCATCTACGCCCCTGCATGTTCTGCATATTCTTCACGTCGCAACCCTACCCTAGTGATTGCTCACCCAATCACGGCTCTAGCACAAGGAAAAGAGCGCTGATTCTCACAAGTCAGTGTTTCCCTTTGGCTGAGTTCTAGCCAATAGGAACGAAGCTAGATAGTTTGTAAACGACTGAATGTCACTTTTGGTTCTCCCCTGTCCCGCACACTTGGTTTGTCTTGGACACTGCGCAAAGTTGCTACACGCCTATCACCCTCGCCTACCTCCTGTTTCTTGCTTCGTGACAGTTCTGAAGCACAGGCTACATTCAGCAAAGACAGGTAGGATCAATTTGAATGGCAAAGCCCACTGCACACATAGGTGCCGTTATGAATACTCCTTCGCATGTATTTAATCGTATTTTTGCCTTTGGTACCTCGAGATTAAGTGCAGGCAAAAATTCAATGCAATACAAAAACCAAGTAAAACGAATCTGTATTTAAAAAGTTTACACTACAGTCGAG